GTGTGTGTGTGTGTGTGTGTGTGTGTGTGTGTGTGTGTGTGTGTCACCGCACGCGCGTGCGCGCATATGCGCGCGATTGTGTGAGTGTGTCTGGCTGGGTTAGTAGGGTTGGCCGGGGCGGGCAGTAAATAAAGGGTGGGGCCAAGAGGGGAGGAGGGAAGTAGGACCGAGAAAGAAGCAAAAGCAGGGCTTGTATCCCAGTTAACCTGCTGTAGCTCATCCTGCTTGGTCTGAGCGCTGCACCAACTCATCCAGTTCCCTCTCTCCTTGGGTGTCTTCTTCCCCTTTCCTCCCCTCTCCTCACTGCACCCTGCACCCTCTACCCACTCCCCCACCCTTCACTTCTGCATCTGACCAGAGGACGAATGAAGGAGACGTTCCAGCAAATCGAGGTAGCAACTTTCCTCAGCTGGTTTCTGGGCTCCGGGAGCGGTATCCTGCTGATTCTTGGAGGTATGCGGCCCATGAAGGAGGAGGGCGAGCAGTGATGGGCTAAGGACCAATGCACTAAGCCTCAAGCAGCTCAGTCTCACAAGCCCGCTCCACGTCCCCACGCGGGTTCCCTCCATCTCTCTCTCCTGAGAGCAGAGAGCGCTTGGCGTGCAGCCTGAGAGCACCCAGGGAGGATGAGGCAGGGACCCAGCCCAAGTTGGGTGCATCTTGCAGGCGTGAGGCCACCAGTGTGTCTCGGCATGAATTAAGAAGCTTGGAAGATGGAGCGCAGCACAGTCCTCATCTTGCCGGGGCTCTGGACCAGGGACACCAGCTGGACACTACTCTATTTCCTGTGCTACATCCTCCCTCAGACCTCCCCGCAAGTGCTCCGGATCGGTGAGTGAGCCCGCGGAAGCGCTCCACGCTGTGGGATACAGGGATCCTGATCGCTCCGCGTGGCCGGCGAGGGCGCAGTGGGTCCGGGCAAGGCAGCGCACAATCCGGCGCTGGTGCGGGGATGCGAGATGGGGGTAGAGGGGGATCAGTGTGTGCCCAAAGCTCACAACAAAGTGAGAGTCGCGTCACTGCTTCCCTCCTGGCAGGTGCCAGGCTTTCCCGGAATGTATGGTTGGCGGGTTTTTCAACCTGAGATCCAAGCAGAGTGCAGGGATCCAGGCTCAACTCAACTCGGCAGGCTCCTACTGTAGGCATCAGGTTGCACGCACCTTTGACCACTTGAATTGGGCGATTGGGGGGTGGTGTGAGATCTCTGTTCAGGGTGCCTAAGTGGATGTACATCAGTCCACTAGTCCCGGTCACACTCAAGCATGTCAGAGCCTTAAGGACAGAATCGCTGACCCTCTAGCATCATGGGAACACAGCAAAGCATGTTAACTCAGAGCCTCCAAGTTTTCATCTCTAAACTGGATTCTTCTGTATGGAGTCTAGGAAGTCTGAGGTACACACTGGAGAGAGGTCGAGAGTGCACGGATCCGGGAGAAAGGTCAATGAACACTAAAGTTTCCTTTCCCTGCCCGATCTATCCACCTTTCAGCCACTCAACAGCGTGGTTGAGTGGCTGAAATCCCCAAACCAGACCACTTCCTGGGAGAGGTGAGCCTCAGTTCTCCAAAAGAGATTAAAAAGAGACTTCTGGAACACTAACGACAGGTTTCTGTAATGTCACAACCAAACAAACGGCCATCATTTCTACCAGAAGGGTCCTTGTGGACTCACATACCTGCATGCACAGCTTGCACTATCTAGATTTGGTCCCTAGAGGTCTGGGCTTTGGGCACTGAGGAACCTCTTGACTTTTCCTTTCCTACTAACGTGGGCTCTCTGCTTCAATTCTCACGGTGCCTTCTTAGCTCCTTTCTTATTAGAGATGGTCACAGGGCCAGCCATAGGTGAAGGGTTGACGGCTGAGAGATCTGGCAACATCCCCATCTCTCCCTTAGAAAAAAAACAAAAACAAAAACAAAAACAAAAAAAAAAACCTAGGTTTCCAGGCCACACTCTTTCTAGGAATTGGCTGAGTGTGAGGGCAACATGCTGAGCTGCTCTCTTAGCCAGGCTTCTAAGCAGGCCATGTCCCTCGTGACTTCACTAGCACTAGTCTTCAACTAGGGAACCCCATAGAGAAACGTAGAATCTACAGCTTGTTTATTTGCGTTTGTCACTGAATATGACAACATGCCCCCCAACAAGCTTACTGTTTGAAGGGTATTTTCTTTAGGCACGCGAAGTTTAGTTTTTAAGGAATGGAAAAACAATTCCGAATACTAACTTTACATGTTTCTTCTAGACTATCGAGGAAAGTAAACATTTATTGTATCTTTAGACTGTATAGTGATATATTTCCAAACTTTTTTTTTAAGTCATGATTGATTACAACTAAAACAATCTTTGCACAAGATATATTCAAGCCTGGACTTTGGATGCAATCAAGTGTGCTTAGCTTAGTAAGATAATAACGAGAAGAATACAAAGTAATGGAAATGTGTAACAATTCCCAGCCATTATTAACGTAATCAGAGTTTTGATTTTGTGTTATACATTTTGAAAGTGACAACCGTGTGTTAGAAATGGCTCCGCCAAGTCCTAAATGATCACAAGTCATGTGAAAGTTGTTTTCAAAATGAAAACAACCTATGTCATTCACTGACCTTATGATGTGTGCCTCAAAATAATCAAATTTCATTCCTTGAAATATGAGCTAGAATGCATGAAGCAACATCACACGTTCTGGTGTTTATATGCAGCACCCATGCTTCCCTTCTGTGGCCCTGTGTGACCCAATGTTGGCCTGGGCACTAACACCCTCTATGTAAGGACCCACACACAGCTTTTAAATGAAAAACTCAGCATGGAAGCCAGCTTTATTGCAGAGGAAGCCTGCCTTTTACAGCTACTGTCCTGTCAGTCAAGTCCAATGTTGAAGGCAAAATATCAAAGGAACAGGGAACTAGACAAAACCATGTGAGGAGAAATAAAATTGTATTTGTTTTCTTCTCTTGTTTTCTTCTTGGCACACTACCAAGTACCCAGCCAACCGACAAATAAGAACTCTGGGTTTTCAACTTGCAGAGTTGTTCAGTAGCTTGAAGTATCTTGAAATAAAGTCCAGAATAAACACTGGACACTTATAATTGCCTTTATATGGAGAAGGAAGCAGAACATTGGTTTGTAGCTTTTTTCGAGTACCTGCTTAAACTTCAGTTACTGAGAAAAGTGTAAATTGAAGATAAAATTCACACACACGCACACACACACACAACACACA